TGTGTGTGTGTGTGTGTGTGTGTGTGTGTGTGTGTGTGTGTGTGTGTGTGTGTGTGTGTGCATAGATGTAGATATAGATACAGATACAGAGATGGATAGATAGAAAGAGAGAGAGAGAGAGAGAGATCTGGAGAGGAGCGAGTTAAAAAAGATGCAACTACTGTACAAGTAATCCTTGACTCACAACAGTTCATTTAGTGACTGTCTGAAGTTACAAGAGCATATTTTTTTTATTTATGTCCATTTTTCACACTTGTGGCAAGCAAAGTCAATAGGGAAGCCAGATTCTATTAACAACCGTATTACGAATTTAACAAATGCAGTTATTCGCTTAACGACTGTGGTGAGAAAGATCGTAAAATGGGATAAAGCCCGCCTAACAACTGTCTCGCTTAGCAGCAGAACCTTTGACCTCAGTTTTGCTTGTAAGTCATGGATTACAGAACACAGAATAGCAGAGTTGGAAGGGACCTTGGAGGTCTTCTAGTCCAACCCCCCTGCCTAGGCAGGAAACCCTACACCACTTCAGATAATTGATTATCCAAAATCTTCTTCCAGTGTTGGAGAATTCACAACTTCTGGAGGCAAGTTGTTCTTCACCTGTAGAGGTTGATTTGCTAGCATGGCCTTTGTTACAGCTTTGCACGAAAACATCTGGACAGCCCATCTCCTGGGTGATTTTTCTCTTTAAGACCTAGAGAGCTCCCTGCACCACTTACATGCGATTCACAGGACCGTCCAGGCCTTGATCCGGGACCAGGATGAGCTGGCATCAACCCTGCAGGACCAGAAGCAAAGCCTCACATCTCTCCTGGAAGAGCCCCGTTGTACGTACTGCATGGGGGCCCTCAGCAGAGCTCAGGATTTGAAGCTGGGAGCTGACTTCCAAAATGTAAGCCAATCCGGATCCTGACGGCACCCGAACGGGAATGGCGCATGAAACCAAAACTGAACTGGTTAAGGAACAGGCTTCTGAGATGACAATGGGCCTTGTTGTCCTGTACAACAAGGTGTAAATCGGTAGGCATAAATCTACAACCTTGGAGGTCTCCTAGTCCAAACCCCTGTTCAAGCAGGAGACCCTCTATCATTTCAGACAAGGGATTGTCCAGTCTCTTCTTAAAAACCTCCAGTGAAGAAGCAACCTCAATTTCTGAAGTCCCACTGATTAATTATTCACACTGTTAGGAACTTTCTCCTTAATTCCAGGATGCTTCTCTCCTTGATCCATTGTTTCTTGTCTTGCCTTCAGGTGCTTTGGAAAATAATTTGATGCCCTATTTTTCATAGCAGCCCTTCAAATAGTGGAATGCTGCTATCATGTCACCCCCTTAGTCCTTTTTTTTCTCCAGAACTGGCCATACCAGTGGTGGGTTCCGGATCCTGTTCCAACCGGTACGGTTGGAACAGGGCCCGGTGACGTCCACATGGATGTGCACCGCACGCCCATGCATCTTAGCACCTTTGCAAGCCTCTGCAATGCTCCAGCTGCTCCATGGAGTGTCGCGCAGATGCTGTATATGCCATGCGTGTGCGCAGAAGCACAGAAGCCTTAAAAGACAGGTAAGGAGCTCGGGCGGGCAGGTGGGCCCTCTGGAGCACAGTACCAGAACGGTATCCAGTGCTCTGGGCAGGCTCCAGTACGCCCGTGCCAGGGCGTACTGCCTGCAACCCACCACTGAGCAATCCCTAATGTCAACTCATAAAGTTGCCATGGTGAGGAAGCGGGGGGGGGGGCGTGCGTTCCACGCATATCTTCGGCTAGAGTCGGATCTCAGATTACTACAGCAGGCCTGTGATGTGTGTACCTCATTGGGGAATGTGATTTATGACACAGACTGAGGGAGGGGTGGGAAGGAACAGGAGTAAAGTTCAGCCATAATTCAAATGAGGTTTAGATCTGACTGCAATAGGATATTGCTGAAATGAAGCTCCTAATAAATGACTGGTTTTCTTTTGAAACTTGGCTCCTAGTTCCTAGTTCCTGCAACCATTAGTCTCCAGGTCCTTAATCATCTTAGTTGCTCTTTTTTGCACTTTTCATAAAGTCTCAACATCTTTTTTGTAACATGGATACCAAAACTGGATGTAATACACAAGCTGTGGTCTTCCCAAGGCTTTATAAAGCGGTAGCAATACTTCACGTGATTTTATCGCTCTGTTTATTCAACCAAGGATTGCATTAGCATTTTTGGCTGCTGCCACACACCGCTTGGCTCCTACTTAAACCAGATTTAAGCTCTGATTGCTTTCCATCTCAATGCTGTTTTATATATTGTCACTTTGCTCTTGGATCCCAGGGATTTGTCTTTTACAAATCTCTCTTGCACATTTCTTTCTTCAGGTGCCTTCTGTTGAAAGAGTTTTGAAAAATTTGTATGGGCTACCTCAGACGAATTTCTCTGAAATGATTCAGAAAGTAAGTGAGGAAGATCTCCTTTCAGCCAAATGCACATTTTTTGGTCTCCAGTTTCATGGTTAAAAATATTATTTTTTGCGCTTCTAGGCCAACAGCAGTTTCAATGCAATTCCACAGTTTACGGTAATGAAAATGGACAAAGTTGTTCAAGGTGAGTGAAGTTTTTTCCAGGAAAAAACAACCTGGAGTCACACAACGGCATCTGGAGTGTGTCAAACAAAGTCACGTTGGTGGCCAAGAACACACAATTGGAATTACAACTATGACTATTTGTTAAATTTTGCGGTGACATTTGCATGGTGGAGGCCATGGATGGTAACCCTTCGCTTTCCTTGCAGAGTTGAAGAAGGACATTGAGAGAGTTGCCCAAAGAGTCCGGTACATTGAAGATGACTTCCCCATCTCTGACCAGACCCGTCCCATGAAGGAGGCCTTGGTGAAGGCAGAGAATGTTAGCCGCCCTTTCCTGAAGGAGGTGAAGCGTTTTGAGACCTACAGGTAAAAGAGAGAGGTGGGAAGAGCAGACACTTGGCAGACATTGATCAGATAATCTGACCAGAAACCCAACACTCCAAGGGCCGCTAGTGAATGGAGGGGTAATATAATATGGGCAGAGCTACAGCACACATTTGTGACCAGCCTGGACAAAGGATTTCCTTTCTCCCTGGTCTTGCAGGGAAGGGGAAGATTTAGGAGGGCTCTTTTTTTTTTTTAAAGGCATACACGATGTTTTCTTGTGTTCCTTCCTTTTACTTGAAAACACATTTACAGAAATCCTAACAAAGGTGGGATACAAACAAATGAATGATTGGACCAGGACTTTGGGCACTGCAAATAGGGATTGGAGTCTCAGGCTGGTCATCTCTGTCCAAGGAGAAGACCCAAGGTTGAGAAAAACACCACGAGAACTTGTAGGAGGACCCACTGTTGAGGCAGAGTTTGTACATGAAAACCTTCCGTTGACCTTTACAGTTCCAAATACTTTTTATATATGCACAAATATTGTGACTGATTTATTAGAATAGAATAGAATAAATATTGGAATGAAGAATAGAATAGAATGAAATGGAATGGAATATGAAATAGAACAGAATAGAATAGCTTTATTGGCCAAGTGTAATTGGATCCATAAGGAATTTGTCTTCGGTGCGTATTTTCTCAGTGTACATTAAAGGTATCAGTGATAAATCATGATCATCAAGTAGTTTTTGATTACAATAGCAGCCCCAATGGCAGATTGTCTGTCCCTCACTTGACCTTTCAGGTCTTCCAACATTGTACCAATTGCCAATACAACTGAGAGTAGAAGTGTTCGAGGGTGTAAATGTTTTGCCTTGGGTAGAGAGAAGCAGGAGTGAAGGCGATGGCTTCAACTGTGTGTCCACAGATGCCATCTAGACTTTCTTTTTTTTTACAAAAGGACCACGGATGCCATGCCTGTAAAAAAAAACAAAAACCTTGCACTCACGCACTCAATTCAAACATTTCTAATTGAGTTGAAACAGCAAACCACATTTCTGGTGGGTGCTGGATGAAGAAATTACTCAGAGCCTGATGTTGCCTCTTGATTCCCCACATCTTTTTTGTCTTGGCCAGGTGGATTGCAGGTACAATAGCATGCACAATTATCCTGCTGATAGTCTTCTGTAACGTTCTGGGCCTTTCCTTTGGCACTTACGGGTTGGTTGTGCGAGATGATCCCAGTGACTACGAGAGCCGGGCTGAAGCTGGAGCCAAATTTCTCATCACGTAAGAACTCTTGGATGTCCTCTCTGTCAATCAAGGAGAATACTTGTAACTCAGTGTTGAAATGAGGGCTCCTTGGCATTCTCTGAGCTCGGTTGTTTCCTTGCAGACATTTCATTAACCACCAGCAATCAGCACCCAGATAAGCGCAGATTAGCTCCAAGAGTAACATCAGACCAACAATCAAGAAACAAAGAAACAATAGCCCCTGCCAAACAAGCTAACAGTAAACAGTCCAACCAAAGAACCTCCAAGACCAACATCGACAGGGCAAGCCACTAGAATATAAAGTGAGAGCAAACTCTGCCTTTTCCAGCACTGATGATGTTACCTAGTTGGACAATGAAATGTGCAAGAAAACAGACATCAGACAACACCAAGGACCCCCCAGTACCCATCTTCTTCCTCCTCCTCCTCCTCCTCTTCAATCCCATTCCCTGCTAGCACTGTGGATGTTACCTAGTTGGGCAATGAAATGTCTGCAAGAAAACAGACAGCAGAATGCACCAAGGACCCCTCAGTTCCTCCTCCTCCACCATTATCACCACCCCCTTCCCCTCCCACCCCACTCCCTTCTAGCACTGGTAATGTTACCTAGTTGGGCAGTGTAACATCTGCATGAAAGCAACCAAGCTAAGGGAGCATCAAGAACTCCTCATGTTATCCCCATATCCAAATTTGAGGACAATTGAGGTCCTTCTGGAGAAACCAAACTGGGACAAAACATGGAGGATGGAATGTGGCTATTTCTGGGTACCTGTTCCTAAGCAGAGATGTCAGATGCTTCCCTCTGGTCAACCTGCTTTCCAGGTTCTTTGGAGGGAGCAACAATCTTGATGGGGAAATGGGGTGGTGGCTTTTCTCCCCTCCTCCCTGACACGTGTTTGTCCGTCTGATTACAGTGGTGTCACCTTCAGCTTCCTCTTCTCCTGGATTCTGATTCTCTTGGTCGCCGGCACCTTTCTGATGGGGGGAAACATCCAAACGTTAGTGTGCAAACCTTGGGCCAGTCAAGAGATATACACAGTGAGTTTGCCTGCATGAACATGAGCAAGTGGGCTTCAGAATTGTTGGCCTTATTTTAATGGAGCCCTGCAGTTGCCCACATTGTTGATGATGTTGAGACTCTGGAAAGACTGCAGAGAAGAGCAACAAAGATGATTAGGAGGCTGGAGGCTAAAACATATGAAGAACGGTTGCAGGAACTGAGTAGGTCTAGTCTAGTGAAAGGGACACAGTTGCTTAGGGGCTAAGACGCTGAGTGTCAGGGCTGCTTCACTTAATAACCAAGAAAGAAACCACTGAACTCCATTTTGCAGAATTAAGAGTACTTTTACTGGTTATAAGTAAATAGAAGCTTAGCAAAGCTGGATCTGAGCAAAAGCGCGTGCAAGCATAGATATCAATACATGACCTATTCCCCTCCCCTTGGTAACCCCAGCCCATAGTCCAATCCAATATCTCCACAGCTGTCATGTGGGAGATATCTTCAAAAATCATCATCAGGTTGGTATGCTGGACAGTTGGCCTTGGCAGAAAACTCCTCTCCCTGCCACATGCGCAGTAGATGGTGAGAACAACTCCCAATTAACAGTCCTCCTGTACAGAATATTTCCCACATCCAAATACCATGCCCCCCTCCCCGTTTCAATGGCAGCCGAAAAGCAAGCAGCAAAACAGAGGCTGACACTGAGCTTGTCAATCAGAATGGTCAGCAGTTTGGTGGTTCGAATCCCTAGTGCCATGAAACGCAGTGAGCTCCCGTTACTTGTCCCAGCTTCTGCCAACCTAGCAATTCGAAAGCATGTAAAAATGCAAGTAGAAAAATAGGAACCACCTTGGGTGGTAAGGGAACAGCGTTCCGTGCGTCTTCGCCATTTAGTCATGCTGGCCACATGACCACGGAGACGTCTTCGGAGAGCGCTGGCTCTTCGGCTTTGAAACAGAGATGAACACCGCCCCCTAGAGTCAGGAACGACTAGCACATATGTGCAAGGAGGACCTTTATCTTACCTTAGTCTAGTGAAAAGAAGAACTCAGGGAGATGATAGCAGTGTTCCAAGATGAAGAAGGGGTCAAGGAGGGGGTCTACCTTCAAAGAAGAGGGGGGGTCAACCGGTTCTCCAAAGCATCTGAAGACAAGACAAAGAACAATGGCTGGAAATTAGTCAAGGAGAGAAGCAACCTGGGATTAAGGAGAAACTTCTTGAAAGTGAGAACAATGAATTAATGGAACTGTTTGCCTTCACGAGTTGTGGTTGTGGCTTCTCCATCACTGGAGTTTTGAAGAAGAAATTAGACAGCCCCCTGTCTAGAATGCTATAGTTATTTCACCTTGGCCAACTCTGATCCCCATCAGCTCCAAAACCCTTGAAAAAGTGGTGTTGAAATTGTTGTGCTTGGGAGAATCAGTCAGAAAGTGTGTGCAGGCAACTCCCCCCTCCCCCCCACTTTTGTGCGTCATATGCCCACTTGCACACAAACAGATACTGTGCAAGTGCATTTTGTCAGATGCATAAACGTGTTGCCTTCTTTTCTGGATAGATGCAGTGATGAAAGTCTGCAGCTTTCTTTTAAAGAAATCCCAGGGAAAGATAAAATAGAAAAAAATACAGATAATCCCCAATTTATGACCACAACTGAGCCCAATATCTCATCGCACATACATTAGAGAGTTGTTAAGTGAGTTTGGCCCCATTTGACATCTTTTCTTGCCACAGTTAAGTTAGTAACATGAGTCTGACTTTCGTCATTGATTTTGCTTATCAGAAGGTCATAAAAGGGAAAAAAGGAATTTAAGAGTAGGGGATAGAAGGATAAGCAGAAAACTGATGAAAAAATGGAATATTAGAGAGAGTAAGGGATGAGTTAAGAGAAAATGGTTAGGTAAGGAGCAAGGGAAAGAAGGGATGTATCAGTAGGAGAATGAAATATGTTAATACTGCTAATGATATATGGTTAAATAAGATGATATTGTTAATTGTGGATAACCAATTAAGTAAAATGCTGGTTAGATTAAAACTGAATTTGAGGATATATGCTACCTATAGAAATGGAAAATGAAATGATAAATTTGGTATATTTTCTGAAAGAGCAAAAAATGCTTTTGTTTAGGTATTAAGAAAAAAGTAAGTTTAAGATGGAAATATGGGAAGAAAATAATGGGGCTGAAATTGGAAATGGTAATGTGATGTGAAACAAATTATGTGTATGAGAGAATGTAAAAGAGGGGGAAACCCAGACAACACTTGGCTTGTAAAAAGATTTTAAAATTTGTAACAATTTTTTTTAAATTACTTGGAAAAAAAAGGTCATAAAAGGTGACCCCATAACCCCGAGACACTGTAACCGTCGTAAGAATCTGCCAGTTCTTTAGTTAGGGTTGGCCTCCATGGGCACTGAGTTCCTCCAAGAATCCACCATGTTGTAATGCATCAACATAGTAGATATGGGATCTAGCGTAGCCTTTTGCAACGGAGAGATGGAAATGTTCTCAATGCAGAGATAATAATGCACCATTATTATTTTTGCTATTCAGTTTATCGACACCCCTGGCAACCTCCCGCCTTCCGTGAATGTCTCTCGATATCTTGGCTTAAAGCAGAATCTCAACCTCACGTCGGCATATCAGTGAGTACCCCCTTTTCCCAAGGGCATCTTCCTTTTGCTAAAGAGGTGGGCCCTCCAGGCCATCACCTCAACAGGGTTACCGAGTACACAATAAGAGAGTTGGAAGGGACCTTGGAGATCTACTAGTCCATCCCTGATCAAGCAGGAGACCCTAGCCTAGACCATTTCAGGCAAGTGGCTGTCCAGTCTCTTCTTGAAAGCCTCCAGTGATGAAGCTCCCACAACTTCTCGAGGCAAGTTATCCCATTGATGAATTGCTCCAACTATCAGGAAATTTCTCCTTAAGGCTAGGTTGTACCTCTCTTGGATAAGCTTCCATCTTCTTATCATTGCTTCTTATCATGTCATCCTTAATCCTAGTACCAGATAACTAAACAGGCAACGGAGAACAAAGATAATTGTCTAGAATGGTAGAGGGCTGTGATGGTGAACCTACGGCACATGTGCCAGAAGTGGCATGCAGAGCCATCTCTCCCGGCACGTGAGCCATCGCCTGTTGCTCTTCCGAGTTCCGGCGTGCAAGCTAGGTCGTCTTCACACATGCCGGAGCACCAAAAACCAGAAAAGCAACCGCCCGGTGTGCATGCACGCACCAGGAAAATGATCTTCCGATTTCCGGCGTGCCAGCTGGTCTTCACACGCACACCAGAAATCGGAAGATCATCTTCCCAGCGCACACATACGTACTGGGCAGCTACTCTTCTGGTTTCTGGCACGTTTTGGCACTTGGTGCTGAAAAGGTTCACCAACACTGGTATAGGGTCCCCTGCTTGAGCAGAGGGTTGGACGGTCCCTTCCAACTCTGTTATGCTATTCTGTTCAATAAAGTACTACAATCCTATTGTCTCAAACATATTTGATTTTAAGGCTCTGCCTTGCCAGATGAAGGACATGCAGCCGAAAAGGAAGACATGTTCTCCTTTCGCCCAACATCCAGTACCCCTAACCTGGTAGAGCCAAAGGTTAGGGACTATGGAACCTGGGAGTTTATGGGCTGTCTGCTAAAGCAAGGTCATGGCACACAGTTGAAAGTATATCAGGAAGACTGTAATTGTGAGGGCGTCTGTCTCTCAAGAACAAAGAATGCTTATCAACAGGAAATATGCATGTGTAAAGTTTGTAGCAATTACAGGTAGTTAGACAACTTGCAGACCTCAGCTAAAAGTTAGGGGTGGTCTGCAGCAAATGAAATGTGTATTAGATAACTCCTGGGGCATTCATTAGCCAAGGCTTAGGAATCGGACAGCTAGAGACCAATACAGGGCGGGGCATAACCTTTTCCTAGGGGGTCACAGCAACACTTGTAATAACAACACAAATAATTCATACACCATTCGAAAGCCCATCAAAAACTGAGTTTATTGACACGATTTAATAGTCAGTATGACCACCAT